AGATATTGCTCATAAACTTATAACTGGGATTTGCTGCATTTGAAATCATTTTGTGCATATAAAACCTGTGAACTCACCAACTCTTTGTAGTTGACACTCGATTTTAATATGCTTTTCAGGAAATAAGAAGGTAGTGGAAAAGTAGATAATCTTACGTTCTTGCTTGCATCCACTTTGGGCAACATAAGCTGGATTTTTGTGTAAGGAACTCCTTTTGTAACGAACTTCTTTTTGTTAAAAACTTTGTTTCTGTTGAAATGTAATCGATGAATGTAATTTTAAACTTTGGAATGTTTTTTTTGTGTTATGGCTATGAATGTATGGTTGGTGTTAAATATATCCGAGTGCAATGAACTCCTAACTGTCGCGCCTCATGTTTCCGCTTTAGCAGGGTGTGACATCAATGGAAGATGGGGAAGGTTGGCGATGAGAGTCCTCACCTCTACAGTGAAGGAGGAGAAACAAAGCCTGCAGAGGGAGTTGGTGGTGGTGGAGGCTGGGGTATGTTGGCTAGTATTGTGGCTGGGAGTTGGGTAAGGGTGGTTTGTATGATGGTCATTTGGGTGGTGAGGGAGGCTAGGATTTCATCGATTTATGAAGATGTTTGTGGAGGGGTTGGTTGAGGGAGTTGGGAGATGATTGTGGCTGGTAAGGCGTTGAGGGTTTGGAAGATGGTGTTTATCTGGGTAGTTATGGTGGCTATGGTCTCATCGGTCGTAGTTTCCTGGGCCGTGAGGGTGGCGATTGAGTGGATGAGGAGTTAGTTTCTTTGGGTGGCAAGGGAGGAGGTGGTGTTGTGGTGTTGGGTTACGGTTTGTTGAAGCATTTGGAGACAGGTGGTATTGTCTCTGATTTGGGTGGTGAGGGTGGTAAGGGTTTGTTGAAGGGTGGCAAGGGATTGTTGAAGGGTGGTGGTATCGATGGATGGTGGGTGTTCAACAATCCCTTGGATGATGAGTTTTTGGTCTTCCAAGGACCGCTGAATTAAGTCAACAAAGGCCTGGAACTCAGCCTTTGTGACTAATTCAGCCGTGGGGGTAACCACTGCAGCAACGGATGCTGCAGGTTGGGCCTCTGCTCCTGACATACCTTCAATGCCTTATGAAAATATAGGCCTTGAAGGACTTTCATCACGTCCTTGATAGCCCTCAAGTGAGGAGCTATCTCCAGATGTTGCGACAACTTCTTCTTCTTCCTCAGCTTCAGAGGCCGAGTAAGAGAAGTAAGTGTGTTTCCCTTTCGCTAGATCAAGTATCGTAGGGGGTTGTGGTGCACGAAAGGGAGATCGCTCTGAACGATCTTGGGGCTCATCAATGGCAGAAGCAACACATGCTTCTGGGTGTATGGATGGTACTATCGAGCCATGAGGTGATGTGGCTCTTATGTCTTCATCGCCTCTCTGTTGGGAGAGGGGCGATGGAAGTTGGGGTTCCTCAGGTATATCATCTCCAGAGGCCCAAAGAATGGCCTCTGGATGGCTGGCTGGTTGTGGGATTGGACTGGGAGGTCCTTGTTCAATACCCCTTTGGCCTTGATTGCCAGGGGTACAGGAGGTGGTTGCCCTTTGCGAAGAGGGAAAGGGATGTGTTTGTGAAGTGTCGGGGGATGCACGTGGAGTACCATCATCATCATCATCTTCATCATCTCATGAAGATGGCTCCTGTGCTCCCTCGCTTGACTCTGGGGATGGTTCTATTCACTATGGGGTAGCTGCCCTCGGTTCATGGGACAGCAAAGAGCGTTCATAAGTTCGTCAGATCTCCGATTGCTCTAGTATGACACTGAGCATTGCTCTGGAGACTGGTCTATTGATGGTATATCCTTCCTTCGAGAGAGTGGGTCGATGGCCATGCATTTTGAAGATGGGGGTGAAGGGATCTTCGACCGGGAGGTCATGTTTCCTCATCGCATCCCCTATGAAGAGAGCTAGGAAATGAGGAAACAAAACAGAGGTTAAGGGCTTGCCGGTCGCCTGGAGCTTGCATTTCTTAACTACCGCCGTGTGCATCTCATTGTATATGAGAAAAGAGTAGTCGAGAAGGATGTTGAAGAAAATTCCATACATGATCGTCATGATGTTGATGTTGATGTTGCCCTGGTCCATCGACCCTAGTTTGCAGGTGAGGGCCCTGTTCAAGATGGAGAAGAACATGTTCCACATTGGTGGTAACAACTGCCTTTTGAAGTCGGAGACGTTGCGTAGGTCAGGATTGTAACCTAGCATTTGGATGAACCAGAGAATGTCGGAGGTGGTGGGTGGCTCGGCATATTGCTCAATGTCGAGTTCTCGACGAGTGGGAATGTACAGAACTCGAGATACTTTTGCCTGCGAGATCTTTAGCGAGCGAATTATGTCGTTTGGGGCGTCCATGTCCCCCATTATTCCATGGCTTTCAGGGTCGTACTCGCAGGTCTGCCAGTATTATTGAACATACTTTAGTGGTACGCCATTGTCAGTTAGGGTTAAGGCCGGTAGAAGGATGCAGTTTCTGAAGAACTTGATCATGATAGCAAACATGTCGTCGAACAGAGTGGTTCGAAGTTCGATGGCATGGTTGTTTGGCTTCATTGGGAGGAAGACTATGGCGCGGCTGTCGGCGCCGGTGGATTGAACGTGGCTGTCGTTGTTATTGGACTCGTGTGATGTAGAGGAAGCTATTGCATATGAAATTGCAGGGAAGTTTGTTGGTCAATGTCTATTTGCAGGTTTTAGGAAGCGTAAAGAGTAAATGGAGGTTGAAGAAGGGTATTTAT